GGTTTTCATCATGAACTGATATCGGCTATCATGCCAAAACTCTATTTATACAAATGGGTGAATAAAATTCGCGCCAAAATCCGAGACCTATTATCTTATACCTGATTGGTTCGTTCATGAATTATAGTCTCGCCACCAGTTCGATTAATTCCAATTTATCTATTGATCGGATAATCAAAGTGACATGTATCTTACTTACTTATGCCTGTTACTCCTAATGGAGCATAGACCGCCGACCAGCATTCTACAGTAGAGACTAGGATAATATACTCTAGTTTTCCTAATTCATAAATTGATCTAATATATTATGCTATTTCAATATACATGGTTACCTAGATACATAGATGTATCAAAGTGACTCAATCTTTTAATGAATAAGAAGTCATTACATTAGAATATTGACTTATGACTGATTCAATAGTTTTGTTTCCAAGTTATGTATATTCATTTATAAGTTCTCTTCATTCCACTTTCCATACGTATTTGTCTATGTGAGTAACTATTCTTTTAATTAAATACTTGATAATCATATGATAAAACATTATTAAGAAAATTATCGATCTTTTCTGTTGAAATTCATTAAAATTCAATCAATACAATCATTGATTGTAGGTGAAACCGTGACTGATATATACACATATATACATACTGATGATTACCATGTGGTCACTAGTGACTAGCTTCGTGAGGGAATTCTCGGAGTTCTAGTGAGAACCCGTGACCAGTGTAGCTAATCCGTGTCAGGTAGAGACAGGTATTTATCTTAGTTAAATGGAAAATGGTTGCGCAATTTCGCGGAGCGGTTGATGTTAGACACTATCACCACTGGATGCCGGCTCACTGGTCTAGAGATTAAGCGTTCGCGCATGGGACCAAAGTACCTGGGGTCCAGTCCCACGAGGCGGTGTCGTGAGTGCCCACTAGTGAGGAGTCCCACAATAGGACGAAAAGGCCGTTCAGTGTTTCCATGTTTTCCATAGTGGTCTAATATCAATCGGTCCATGATCTCAATAAAAAAACATTGGGAATTGTGAGTTGATGCTTTCAAAAATATTCACTTGAATTTGTTTTCTCAAACTGGTAGAAAATATCACTTGGTATTGTTTTACTTGAATCTACCCATTGATGTTTAGGACTGCAATTGATCAGTCTCTTATTGGCATGTGTGCATATAATGCTTGTAAATTAAGGTAATATCAAGGCAATACGCATAGTATGCATCGTCTGAAGTTGAATGAAAAAATGACGGACTAGTTCTAAGTTGTATCGGTCAATAGTTACTATATTTGCACAGATTAAAAAAAAAGGCGTACATCTATTAACACTCAATGACTTCACGGACTAATATTGTCTTGGTTTAGGTGGACATAGTTTTCTTTAAACCTACTTCTACGCATGCGATATTAGGTGTCTATGTAATTGATGACTAGACATATTTTATACATATCCCAGACACCGTAATTAATGATTATTCATATTTTCATCATTCGAATAATCATCTTTGCCGATCACCCTACGTCCGACTTGATTATCACTCGCTCAATGGTTCTAATATATGCAAATAATCGTCTTCATGTGAAAATTTCCACTTACCTGGAAAATGAAATTTATACTTTCTAGACAGTTGGCATATTGTAGTCTTACTTGCCTGAAACGATTGTTTTCGTGCTTCAAAACGAAGAACAAAGCGTAGTGGTAGGATTCCTCCATTACTGTTGCACGAAAATTCAGATATACTAGTTGAATCATACCTGGCAAGAGCTGAGAATTTATCAAACTGTTTCATCGAAGTCTACGCTACGGGTATTGTTAACATTACTAATCACGATCACACCACTGAGATGTCAGCTATAGGACCTGTACATGTGGCTAAGGAAACGGTTTTTTAATTGATCATTAACCTCAAATCTAGTAGGATACTGAGACCTGATGGGTTACATCTACGATTGCTGTCATCTCTCTCGGACATTATTTCAATGCCACTCTCGATGCTCTTCGACATGTACCTTTCTCATACTCAATTCCCTAGGGACTGGAAAGATGTTATAGTTAGCCCTATATTTAAAAATAGTCAGAGAAAGATCGTATCTAACTACCAACCCGTTAAGTTACTTGAAAAGATACTTCAGGTTAAGTTACCAAGTCACATATAATCATATAATCTGTTGAGCCTCATGCAACACGGGTTTCGAAGCAAGAACTGATGCTTGATCATCTCACTTATTGAGAGAGAGGATTGTAAAGCAGCCATAGATAATGGTCTGTCTGTTGATGTAATATTCATAGTCTTCGGCAAAGCATTTGACAAGGTTTCTTATCTAGGTCTTAGGCAGAAGCTCTCGAGCTTCGAAATAGCAGGTGCTGTACTGGAATGCATAAGAAACGTCATATGTGACCGAAGTCAGAGAGTGAGTGTAAACTGGACTATCTGAAGCCGGTTAAAAGTCGCATAACCCATGGCACCATCTTAAATCTCCTACTTTTCCTTGTCTACGTCAATGAATTGACGCGACTGCTCGAGTTGTTGACATTATTGTTTGCAGATAATGTCAAAAGTCAGAGAACTACAAGTAGTGAGGTTGTTCATCTTGATTTCCAACTCGAACTAGACAAATTAGTCAAATGGTCACATAGTTGGGGCTTAGACACTAATTCCAAAGCAAGTGTGACCACCCACATCGGGCACGATAATATTTACCAGTGTACTATCGACGGTACATCACTTTCATGAGTACAGGAACATAAAGACCTCAGGGTAATAGTAAGTCGCTGCTTGAAAACAACTACGCATTGCAACGCAGCAGTTGTCAAATGTTTTCGTACGTCATGGTTACGTCGCCAAGCATGTAAATGATTTGACGACATGTTTCGAGTTTTATATATCACCTACGTAAGACCACACTTAGAGTACTGTATCCAAGCAGTTGGTCCATCTCTTATTAAGGATACTAAAGCACTTGAATGTGTTCAGAGTGTGGGAACAAAATTAATGAAGGTTCTCTGTAAACTCTTTTGCAATGAATGCTTAAAACGCCCGAACCTTTTCCCTTACTCGTATCGTAGAACGCAAGGTAACTTTATTTTGGCATTTGATATCTTTAATTACGATTTGATTGTTAATATATCTCGTCGTTTTGTTTCCTCCAGCACTAATAATCTTCGAGGCTATAGCAAGAAGATTCAAAAGCCACTATCTGTTAAAGTCAGAGCAGGATTTCGTTTTTCTCATAGAGTGGTGAATGATTGGAACACTTTACCCGAACAATTGGGATCAGACCCATTTGTAAACATTTTTAAAGAGAAGCTGCATCTTCACTGAAAAAACAAGCTATAAGGATTAACAAAGGTTCACCAATCTACTATTCTTACTACTGAATTTCTAATGTGAATGATGACTTATTAACTAGGTGACTGATAAATATCTCATATTTCACATTGGTCAGATATAATTTTATGTTGTTGTGTCTTCAGAAAAGAAGCTTAATAACCAAACCTAGTTGTCAATTTGTTTTCCGATTGTAACAGAATTTTATATGCTTAAGATGCTAGAAACATTTCATCATTGGGATAGTATAACAAAATAATGATAACAACTAATTAGTTAAATTTACTTGGTATTGTTTACTTGTATCTTCCCATTGATGTTAAGGACTGAAATTGATCATACTGTGCGTATTGCCTTGATATTGCCTTAATTTACAAGTATGGGATGTAGGTACCTTGGTGATACTAGAATTTATGGACGAACCAATCAGATTTATGATAACAGGTCTTGGATTTTAGAGAGAAATTCTCTATCCATTTGGCTAAATAGCGTCTTGGCATTTTAGCTGATGTCAGTTCGTGATGAAAACCCTAAATGTAATTCTTAATCCTAACCGTCAATTGTAAATCACAATCCTTATCCTTCACACAAGTTTAAAACCCTCAATGAGCCCTAGTCATTAGGTGAACATTCTCAAGATCAATTTGGTATCGCTCAAAGGTCATTCATAAATTATAGTCTCATCGCTACATCCAGCCGACGAGTCCCAAATACGACGAAACACACGTCCTGGATTCCATTGTTAACCACTATCCATCTTTGCTTATAACTAATTATTTCATTTTTCTCATGGTAATCCACTTCAGTACTGTTTAGGTAAATAAAAGTATTTCTATTGATTTTATGTTATCAAATCAACTGATCCTAGGTTCGAATCCCGCAAGCAAGATCAAAGATGGACACTAATGAGAAGTCCCATACTAGAACGAAACGTTCATTCAGTACTCCCAGGTTTTCCATGGTGGTCTAGCTTCAATTGAATCATGATCTCTACTATTAAAATGACTATAATATCCACAAAAACCTCTTTTGATATTAATCAACATATGCTCACTAGTGACTAGTTTCAAGTGGTATTTCCTGGGATTCTAATGAGAAACCGTGACCATGTCTGTCGTGATATAGTAATTCACTGAAGACAATGGTGAATATCTAGCTCAATTTCATAAATTAGTTGAAGTTAAACATTAACACCGTTGGATGCTGACCAGCTCAATGATTTCGAGGTTAAGTATTCACACACCAGATTGGTAAATCCTAAGTTCGAATCTCTTGATGAGAAGAGATCATGAATACACACTACTAAGAAGTTCCACAATAGAATGAAACAACTGTTCAATACTTTCAAGTTTTTCATGATTATCTCACTTGAATCAATTACTAGCTAATTCAAATGTTTTATATTATCGATAATTGTTGTGATTGACATCATGAACCGATTGATGTTAGACCATCATTGAAAACGGTTCATGATCTCAAAAAAAAACAAAAAAAACTTAACCATCTCCACAACCCCCTATACTGATCATATCAATATTATTATTATTATTGTTTCATGTTTATTTCATGATTGGTTCATTTACATAAACCAATACAAGATTGACTAGATCTATGATTGGTTATTGTAACATGGTACTACTCGTAGTAATATAACCTTGAATATCTATGGGATTTCAAAGGATTGATTGATGGAATGATTGAATGAATGATCTTGTACCGTAGATAACTGGGGGTTTTTTTCTTTGTATTTTTTTTTCGAAAAAAAAACAACAAAAAAACAAAAACGAATTCACTTAAAAGGATTATCAATCTGGCACATTATTCAATCCAATTTTATTGTTGTAATGAATGAATTAGATGAATCCTTAACAACTAATCAACAGAAATCAAATTATCTACGTTTTCATAAACCATTTCATGCACAAATAGCTAAAACAAGCGCTTTATGTTATACATGGATTTCTTTAGTAAGTTGAAATGATCTAAGTTTTTCTCATTATTATTATTATTATTATGTATGAATAAGTTTCCTTTTATACTGTGAAGTTCTCATCTTGTATACTTACTTACTAACACATACTCCTGTTACTCCTGTTATATGGAGTCGTCGCTGATGTTGTGTCGGAAAACGCTGATCACTTATACTCGTAACGAGGGACTAGGCAATTCCCACGATGCAAAGTAAGAACACACAAGACTGGTATAAGTGAAGATTTATTAGCCCCCAAACACTATGACAACGACGAATTAAATATAGTCTAAAATACACTGGTTTATATATTGATTGTACACCTATTTTGATTAATACTTACGATGAAATCACATACTCAGTTATAACTAATTACTTACTGAGCATAGTTCCTGTCAACTGAATACAAGAATATCGTATGCTATACAGAAGAAAATATCATACTGGGAAACAGTAACAAATACTACACTGAATGATCCTCACGTTGAATCAAAACGGATGTTGAATGTTGAATAAATTCATAATGAGTAAATCAATCGAGGAATTGACTTTTCTTTCCATCATATCACAATTATACAATAAAAATATACGTTTAGTATTGGTCCATAAAAGAATTCCAAAGTTACCATTCATTATGTTTATCGGGTCCTAACAATCCTGATGAAGGAGAATAGATCAACCATAATCATTCTTCATCCAAAATAGTGTAGTGACTGTGCTTTGTTAACCAATCACCCTCGTAACTGTTACATATGATCCTCAACGGTGTTTGAAATCAGAAGGCAAAGAGAAGCAGCGACTACAGTTTATTAGTAGATAACACAGACCACAAACCAGAGAGACAAATGAAGGAGTCAGCAAATCGAGGGTGTATATAGGATTAAATGTACATGTACATAGATATATAGGGAAATGAATGGACGTCGAATGAATTAAGCAGTTAATAATAAAGCTAGCAGAATGAATGTATGAGTAGTCGGTAAGCTATGTTCAAGCATACATATTTCACACAAGCACAACAATAGTAAAGGTACAATAAGTTGTTATAGTACGCATGACTTTGTCCGCTAAATAAGTTAACAAAAGGGCTTAACCGAGTTAAATGAGAACAAACTCAATTACACATGAGTTGCTATCATAGTTCTGAGTGATCCTTTCAAGCTATTTCTAGTTGTTATTCATCCTTTTCATATTTGCTTCAATTTCGCAACGTCATGTATTCTTTGGTCTTCCTCTTTTCATTAACCTTCAGGATTTCAAGTTAGGGCTTGTCTGGTGATACAGTTCGATGATTTCTGGTATGTATGTCATATCCATTACCAATGTCTTATTCGAATTTTCTCTTCAACTGGAAGCTGGTTTGTTCTCTTCCACAAAGCATGTATATTATTATTTCAATCATATCTCATTGGGTTTTGCTCTAATTCATAGGAATATTTATATAGATTATTACTTGACTGACTTACTTATGTCTGTTACTTCTAATGGAGTATAGGTCACCGACCGGTATTCTCCAACCCACTCTGTCCCACTCTGCCTTCCTTTCCAGTTCTATCCAGTTTTGTTCATTTTTCTCATGTCTGTCTCCATTTCTCGGAGTAATGTCATCTTTGGTCTTCCACTTCTCCTCATTTGGCCTTGAGGATTCCAAGTGAGGGCTTGCCTTGTGACGCGATAGGATGTTTTCCTCAATGTGTGTCCTATCCACTTCCGCAACTGCTTCTTGATTTCTTCCTCCACTAGAATCTGGTTTGTTCTCTCCCACAATAGGTTGTTGCTGATAGTATTTGGCAGACGGATCCGAAGTATTTTGTGTAGACAACTGTTAATAAACACTTGTATCTTCTGGATGATGGCTTTCATTGTTCTCCAGGTTTCCGCTCGATACGGTAGAACCGTTTTGACATTTGTAGATATAGACATATGGAAATATTTGTTTCATTTGGATCATTGACTCATAAATTGCATTGATTAGTCTAATATTTACATATATTTATAAAGCCTAGTGAGAATCTACTTGAAAGCGATACTATTTACTTACAGGTTGTCGTTTTAATTTCTTCGAATAGTAAATGAAGAACAATGTATCACACTTGTTGATAATGTATAAAATAGATTTAGATGATGTAAGTTTGAAGAAAGCCAGAAGTGGACAAAACAAGATTTGATATCAGTTTACGAAGTCATTGGGTGTTGTATTGAACTGCATAAGAGCTGTCAGTCAGTCAGTTACAACGTAGAACTAGGCATATATGTGCATCGGTTCAAGTTCGAATGGGGTCAGTAGTTTAAGATGTTAGATGACATGGCTCATAGTTAATCACATTGATCAATGAGCATTCGTTATTTTTTATATATTACTCTAGATCTTGAGTTCTACTATTTTTACATCTAGACTTTTTCTTCTTGTTTTTTCGAGTTTTCTATCATATTCAAAGTATCATTTCACATACAATCCAAAAATAATGGTTATCTTTTACAAAAAAAACACACATTTAGTCTGTTGACTAATCAGAGAGGCTTTTTGTGGATATTATAGTAATGTAATAGTTGAATTCATGAGTCAATTGAAACTAGACCATCATCCACGTTCGTGGATGCTCAGTGCTAAGGAATCCTATGAGAGGACGAAATGGCTATCTAGTGCTTCCAGATTTTCCATCGTGATCTAGCTTTAATTGACTCATAAATTGAATGATTAAGATATTTGAATTCAACGGAAATACTTGAATAACAGAGTGAATTAATAATAATAATAAAAAGATTAGTGAATAAAGATAACTGAGACAATTACGTTTGACTACAAAAGGTCATAAGTACAATCGTTAAATTAAGTCATTTTATAGCTAAGATTACTTTTTGATTAAGACCATGAATCGATTAATGTTAGACTATCATTGAGAATCTGGAAGAACTGGATAGCCGTTGCGTCCTATCATAGGACTCCTCAGTAGTGGGCATCCACGACCCTGCTTGGGGGATTCGAGCTCAGAAGCTATCGGTATCGTACGTGAACGCTTAACCTTTAGACTACTGAGCCGGCATCCAACAGTGTTAATGTCTAACCTCAACCAGTCCATGAAATTGTGAGACCATCTTCCATTGTACTGAGGTAAATACCTGTCTCTACCTGATATGGATTAACTCCTATTGGTCACGACTTCTCACTAGAACTATTGATTAGTTAGCTTAGAGATTGACCACAGACGGAGAAGTGATTGAAGATATTCATATTTTTAACACTGAATATTTAAAAAACGTATTTTACAGTATTAAAAAGATTGTAGACATATAGAGAAAAGTGATTAGGTCAAATGATCTATTGTCAAACAACAACAAAAACAAAAACATTGATCCATTTATTTTGATCCGATAATTTGTAAATGCCATGTGACCCGAGAAAAATGATAATACCACTTTTTATTGATTATAGTATACATATCATGTAATTATGTGAATATATTGTGATGATGATGATGATGATGATAGAGTTATTCGTGCCTTGGTTAATAATAGTTTCATTATAGCTTATCTTCGGTAGGTTAAATGTTAAAGAATAACTTTTTCTACAGATAGATGTATTATAAACAAAGATGGATAGTAACTAGCAATGGAATCCAGGATGTACGTTTTGTCCTATTTCAGACTCGTCAGCTGAAAGTACCTATGGTTGTAATACACACATATATGCACATCAATGAAAAGATACAAGTAAACAATACTGAATGAATTTAGATAGATGTATTATTGTATAACATTTGTTTGTACTATAATAATTTTACTGGGGAAAATCAAATACTATTACCCCATTAGGTATATAATTACAAAGATATGAATATATTCAAATCATTAGAGCTTTGTCGTGTACTAGGAAGAAACGGCCGTCCAGTCTTTCCAGGTTTTCCATGGTGATCTAGCTTCAATTGATTCATGATTTCAACCAGTGAAATTTCTAAAATCTCCACAAAACCCCTTCTGATAATTAAGTATCTGTTAATCAGATTGATGTTTTGTAATTCAGGTAAATTTAATGAAGAGACCTATAATTTATAGATGAATCAATAGAATGAGAGTGAGGAAGTTTTAAATGTTGTCACGAAGTTCACTCATTCATAATTTGTGTTAGGTTCACTACTTGATTAATGCAGAATACGGTTACAACTACTACATTTGGACGTTGGAACTTCACTGTTGTAAATCAGAAGAAAAGCTGGAGAAGTGTTTATTTGGTATGAATCAAAATGTAAAGTAAATCACGGATATTTATGGATATTAGCATTTGTTAAATCAACATTATATTTCGACCAATCCGCAAAGAGACATATTATGCTACTGTCCACTAGTTGCATGCCACGTTGATATTCTAGAAAGCTCCATCACTATCTGATTGGCTGGAAACTCTTTGACTCCTTTAGGACCTCTGGAGCCTTCGTTGTAGTTCTCGGAAGCCGACTCAACAATTTGGCATTATAAATAGATTGTCAGTTGATGATGAAAACCATAATTCTAAATTATGACATTTAATTCTAACTTTAAATCTTAATCCTAATTCCTTACATTAATACATAACTCTCTTTCAACAAAAAACCCTGAATATGGATTTCGTGTCAGTTTGCACTTGTCAACAAAATGTACTTAGTATCTTGGAGAGACTGATACTCTCTATGAGATTTGATCTGAAGCTATTCATTTTCATGGTCTGGGATATTACCGTTTAGTTATTCAGTCAGCAAATGATCTTCTGTAGTACAGAGATATCGATAATGATTTATCACTTGAATTTACAGAAGTCTGATCGATAGAATTCGATCAACACTTAAGACTAAACAAATATGATGTTGATCACTATTCAATGACCAATGGCTATGCAGATTTATAGTGTTTCAAACTATAAGAAAACAATTTTCTGATACTCTCTAATCTTCAGTGGTTCACAAAATAATGTACAATTAGGGATTTAATCACTAAACTTCTTGTATTTATGAAATAAGTTTGATTTATACTTCATCAAACTCTTTTTTGGCAAACCAAGAGTATGTTAATCTCAGAAGGGGTTTTGTGTAGATTCTAGTAATTTCAGTAGTTAAGGTCATTAGTCAATTGCATCTAGACCACTATGTTAATCTTTCTTTCCAAGGTTTTTGGTTTAAGAGGAGTATTTTTATGGTGTTACATCTTCTAAACTCAAAATAGTGTTGTGTATACTGTTCGTCCTGATAACCGTTACTAGATAACGCTCCAATCGCGTTTTATTCAGAAGGTGAATATGAAGTATTAAGTTTATCATTGCACCGTACACAGATAACCAAAATTATAGGTAAACTAAGCAAGCAAAGAAGAAGTGTTGAAAAGCAATCAGCAAGCGAGTGAGTGAACAGGATTAAAATGTACATATACATATACATAGGGAAATGAGTGAATTCTCGAAACAATTAAGCAACTAATAGTAAGGCTATCATGCGTAGGCAGTAAGCAATGCACAAGCATACACATTCATACAAGTGCAACAATATTAAAGTACGATGGTTTAGATAGGTTATTGTTGTTGTACGAATGACTCTGTTCGCTAAATAAGTCGACAAAAAGGGCTTGACTAAATTTAAATATGAACAAACTCGATTGCACATGAGCTACTCTATAGTAGAATACTTATTCCATGATGGATATCTAAATGTTATATTGTTGTCTATCCGTATACTTACTTAATGTTGTTACTCCTCATAAAGAATTCGAATTAATTCATTCATTAAACTAGTGTACTTTATAGCTCTTAACAGATATCAATTACATTATAGAGTTTAAGTTGATCAGGATATTCTCTCTTCCTCTATTGCAAAATTCATTTCTAGAAAATATTGTAACTGAGGCCATCTTAAATAATTTTATATTATAATGATTATAGTTACCAAGGCAGTATACAATTACCTATTTTTCAATATGCAATCAACACAATATCAGTGTTCTATCCTCTTATTGTTATAGATGACATGGTTCAGAATCGATCATAATGGTGTAGGTGTATACACTCATTATCTTTCTTTAAACTGTGAGATTAAAATTGTTTTATATCTTTCTTTCTACAAACTAATTCTTTCTTCCGTTATCAATATCCCTATACACAATCTTTCTTTTATATATTACTACGATCACTACCATTGGGTTGCATCGACACCCAAACTATTGATAGGGAGTGAAGTAGTCGGGCATGTCGACTGCTTCACTTATCTTGGAAGTCTCATCAGCCCTTGTGGTCTAGTGTGTGACGAAATCTCAGCATCAATACAGGGGCCTTGACTAGCTTTTACCAACTTGCATCATTTATGGCGTAGGCGAGATATCCGTCTACCAACAAAAGGACGGGTTTACTGTGCAGCAGTTCGTTCCGTCCTACTTTACGGCAGTGAAAAATGGCCGGTATGAGTAGAATATATTCGTAGGTTACTAGGTGTCGTTGAAGCATTGCTCGCATATCCTAATACTACCGAATAAGTAATGCAGTTGTTAATAAACGGGTACTAGGTAAGGATGGCAAATCAATTGATGACGTAGTGAAACTTCATCAGTTGAGATGGCTTGCAAATGTGTTACGTATGCCCAACCACAGACTGTCCTGACGTGCGAAGTTTCATGGTGTAGGAGTAAGATGAAAGAAAGCTAGGAGCGGCCAGACCAAAACATGGCACAAAACATGAAGTCACTTACTAGTGGACTGTGTAAGCCATGTTGGTAGGTGTAGATTATATGGTTTGGATCCGCGAGATGATAGTAACCGATGGTTAGAAACCTTGAATGACATGACTCAAAATCGTTTGGAATGGCGCAGGTTCACGTCCACACTTTGTATTCTGCCAAATTCTAATCTTCTGAATTCTTCTTCTGCATTTTTTTTTGAAATGTTCCCATATTGTAAATTTAGAACAACATATATAAGCGAACAATATTGTTTTCGGTTAGATCCTCATCAAGCTTTACTCTAATATACAGTAATATTTATATGCAACCTATACGAAATTATTAAACCAATCAAGGTAGTTTATAAGTCAATGATGATAACAATGAAAACGATTACATAATAAGTAAAATGTGAAAAGTACAAATGGATGGTGTGAAAACAGGTGCATTAGTTTTTGATAAGCAATAATACTAAAGGTTCAAATCAATGTTACATAATCGGAAATATGTCAATAATTAGGAGAAAATATAGAAACTGAGATAACAATTATGAAGATTATAAGATGACGTAATAAGAAATGTTCAGATAATTGGACCATGAAACGTATAGTTGAGAGAAAATAAAGTGGTAGGAGGGGGGTGAAGAAAAATAATAAACGAAGAGAATAAATAAATAAATAAATACATTCATTTATTACTTAAGGCCAAGGGAGAGATAAGGGAGTTACAAATTTCTTCTGGACACAAATACTTGGCTTGTTAGCTCGGATTCCTATAGCTTCTGCTATGTGTAAGAGACGAGATCGAACACCATAAGGAAAACTATCAAATTGTACTTTTCACATTTTACTTATTATGTATTCTATTCCATTGTTATCATTGACTTATAAACTACCTTGATTGGTTTAATAATTTCGTATATGTATATAAATATTATTGTATATTAGAGTAAAGCCTGATGAGGATCTAATCGAAAACAATATTGTTCGCTTATATATGTTGCATTTTTTTTCTCTTTTCAAATTTATTTCACTGGATTATAAGTCTTGAATATCATCTTCAAACCCTAATCTTTCAGATTACTGCTTATACCCTTACTACTTCTACTACTACTACTACGGGATTTGAATAGACAATTGTATATCTGTACTAAAGTAGTATGGCAACTCGAAGTGATGTACGTACGTACGTACAAAGTTCTACGTTGTTACTGACTGACCATTGAAGTAACTATTTCTATGAATTCAGTATTCATCATATTATGCTAATAAAGTATGACAACTTGAACCAATGCATATAAATGTGTCTAGTTCTACATTGTAGTTAACTGATTGACTTATTGTGATATGTGTTCATTTTTATACCAAAAGAAATCGATAATGTAACATATCAGTATCTTAGATACTCAACTGATCCTTTCAATGAAAAGAAACCTAAATATTTTACGATCATCCTTTTTGTTGTTGTTGTTGTTGTGGTGGTGGTGGTGGCAAAGAAAACTAATCAATACTTTATATTATTCCTTTTTAGGGATTATATAGTGAAATATTAGGTCCAACATTACCTACTCTTATGTATAATACAAAATCGAATTATGAACAAATTGGTATGGCATTATCAACAAGAGGAATTGGTTTATTATTTGGTTCATTAATTGGTGGAATATTATCAGATCGTTATAAATCATTACGTAGTCTATTTATCATGTTATCATTAATAATTGGTGCTATAACAACATTAATTATACCATGGTGTATAAATATAATTATATTAACAATTATATTATTTATAGCTGGATTCTCACATGGTTTCTTAACAACAAGTAAGTAGTTATATTATGATCAATTGTTAAGTAAATTCATAATGTAGTTCAATATGAAAATGATATACTGACTTACTTACTCCTGTTACTCCTCGTGGAAGAGTATAGGTGGCTCAGCAGCACTCTCCATCCAAACCTGTTATTGGCGATCCTTTCCAGCTATTTCCAGTTGTGATTCTTCCTTTTCATATTTGCTTCTATTTCCCGATATAATGTGTTCTTTGGCTTTTCTCTTTTACGTTTCCCTTCACAATTCCAAGTTAGCACTTTTCTAGTGATGCAGTTTGTATGTTCTATTCATTTTTATCGTCTTTACCAGGTTTCCTCTTCATCTGGAAACTGGTTTGTTCTTTCCCACTGAATGCTGTTACTGATGGTATCCGGTTAATAATGGATGTTGAATATATTGTGTAGACAACTATTTATAAATATTTGTGCATGTTTGATGATGGTTGTCGCGGTTCTCCATGTTCCATCTCCGTACAGTAGAACTGACTGTCTTGATGTTCGTGTTAAAGATTCTGGATGAATTACTTCAGGTTAATTAAAAAAGGAAGAAATTGTGACTCAGTCAGTAAAAAAATACCCTATATCTGACACTGGAATTTAAAGGGAACATAGCAAGTGATATTTCAACACATCGACTCAAAAGATCTGTTGAAAGGACGTTTCATGACGCCAAGCTACATATAATTTTCTCAACTAAACCAGTGTTTACACAACTAATCAATGATAGGTTACTGAAGATGGGCTCCCCCATGTGTGTATGCCAATTCAACGGCTTCTGTGGAGCTAGTTGTATAGATTGTACCCAGAGGGCTTTATCCTTGCGTGTTCGTGAACATCTACCAGTATAGTTGGGAAAACAAGTTACAAAATCGATCAACATGGCTATTCTTTATCACTTGATATATAGTGAACATCATATCAAAGTAGAGGAAGCTTTCTCTGTTTTATATCAAGTTCCAAATAATGTATCTTAAGGAGCTAGATTACAGTTACTCTACATAGCCTAAGCCATCTGGATCAATTACAGAAAACCAAACTTATGTATCCAGAAAAAGTATATCCAGCCGGTATGTTTACCTTGGCTTACTATTGGATCACCGGATACCTAAACTGTATATTGTAAACATCTTACCCCCTAACTTTTTTGATTAGTTATACCTTAATCTTCACATCTATCATCCCCAATTCACATGAATTGAAGTATACATGTCGTAACAGATGCAAACGTTCACCATTTTCAACTGATAACATTGTCCATTTCATTAATACATGCCTTATTTAGCCTTTGTCGACCGGCTAGCTCAGTGGTAACGTCTCTGATTGTGAAGCTGAGCGACACGGGATCGAATCCGTTAGAGAGCATCAATTGCTTCACGATTATAGGCACACCATTCTGACGAGTGCCAAGTAGCACGAAACCTAGCTCCAGGGTTTCTTGTTCACAACCTTATATTGGCCTTTGTAAAATATCACAATACTTATGGACTTATAACCGTAGAGCGTGATAATGAAGTTTATAATTACTCTTTTTGAGATATAAACATTTGATAGTAGTTTATTCACTTCGATAGTAAATTTTAATTTGGTAAAGGATCTATTCATCTCTATTATGGCATATCAATAATTAACTCAGTAATATATAAATACCTTTGAAAACTAGACAGGATTGAAAAAAACTCTATGTCTTAGTGTTGAACAATTCAGTTGTGCACTTTCACGACCTCACCAGGCATTGATTAACATGGGACAAGGGCTTAATCATGAAATCATTTAGTTGAAATCCAGAAGTACATATTCCCAACTTTGTTCACTTCATAATCGTTTAATTTCTCATGTCTGAATTTCATCGATTAAGGCTTCCCAAATGAACTCAGGGAACATATCTACATTTAAACCACTGGTGTGTACACGACTATAGTTTTATTGGAGCTGTTTTTTGGGGTTATTTTAGTTCATATATTTTATTAAATCCCTGATGGAATCATGTGTACTTACTGTTATATCATACTAAAAGATAGCTATTCAGTGTTTTCGTGTTTTCAATTGCATTTTAATTGGCATCAGTATTTACTAAATACCATTTATAATTCACCCTTAGAAATCAAACATGAAATTCAACAAAAACGACCGTTGAGGGCCTAACCAATCCTCTAGAGCTTAAGCGTTTGCCATGAGATCGAACTATCTTGGTTTGATTATCAGATGATGAATTAAACTCTGATTGTGTTTGATGGAGACCAGCATTCAAAATGTTTTCAGTTATGAAACATCTCATGAATTCATTGATATATCGATCCAGCTGTGCTGGATATTCTAGAATCCTCTTTACATCGAGCCATTTATTTGCCTAGCTTGACAGAAGCAAGTTAAATGGAATATCTTGTCCTTTAATTTACTGTTAAATATTGGTTGACTGAGGAACAATAACAATGTCGCTGAGAAGAATGTTGTTTTACGGAAGTTAGAAGTCTTAGTCTTACAGATATCTACAGTTTTGTAATCTTTGAAATCAGTCATCAAGTGAAATACTTTCTTTCATACTGTATTCTTATTACTATCTTTAGATAGATTATATTCACATTAATAAACATATTACTAATTGTCGTTATAGAAAAAGAGAGTTATATATGTTATAACTTGCACCCTGTGTTCTATTATTGCATAACTTAATGATACCGCCAATTAGAGAACAGTGTTTTATCGACCGGACCAATGACACAAAACCCGTACAAGCAGTCCAGAGCCCTTGTCAGTTCTGCTTCCAGCCTAACCCTGTCTGTTAAGTCCAGGGTCTGCGATATGAATCATTTATTTCGAAAATACGTGGTTTATATATCAACCAAACAAACCACATCGCACCACAAAATAGGAAACAGAATATGAACAAGATTTAGCCAAATGTGGGTGTGGATGTTGGAGATAGTAATTGATAGACTAGGCATAACTCAAGAATGGTAAATCGTATTATAATAGTCTATGGGTCAAATTAAAGCTTATAATAAGAGGGACATGAATATGTATAGTTTAGTTATGTGACAATTATACGATAAAAATATTAATCCATAAATGGATCCCAAAGGTTACCATTCATTATTCTCATCAGGATATTACAATATATCTACAGTTTTACAGCTTAATTCATTAAAGAATAAACATTTATCTTGTAACCATTCTTGCTTGTTTCTATACCTCATTTATTCATTAAATATGAAGATATTAAGAGGATTAATTGAACTGATTTCATAAACAATTATAAGCGAGATAAACACAATATCAAATAGTTTGTATCCAACTTATTTATTTACTAATTCAAATCTTGAACCGATTGATATTGGACCACCATTGAAAACTGGAAGCATTGCAGTTAGGTTTCGTCCTATTGTGGGACTCCTCAATAATGCTCATTTACGATCTCGCTTAGCGGGATTTGAATCCAGGGCCTTCAATCTCGCATGCGAACACTTAACCTATTAGACCATTGAACAGGCATCCAACGGTCTTAATGTCTAACGTCTATCGAACTCTGTCATAAACAACTCATTAACACCAATATTATAAATATAATTTGATCATTTAAATTGTTTGTGAGAAAGTACGTTAAGAATAGTATGATTTCAAGATTAGGAGAATGATGAATAACTCTTCAAATGATCAATCTCTATACTGTAACTGCACTATGCTTGATATTTGGTACTGATTATATTTTTTTTTCTTTCTTTCTTTCTAAAAATTACATTTCATGACGTTAACTAAACGTTTTCATTGTATATTGATACATACATTCACAATTATCATATTGTATTCGTAATGAATGATGTCAATATGATTGAATTTCGGAAAAAAATATATAAAAGAATAATCAGTGAAATTATACCGTTAGTACTGTCAAAAGATAAAAAGAGAATGTTGAGTTGCATTGTAAGTAAGCGATGTACATATACGATGTATGTTACTAATGTTTGTATATATAAGTAGTATGTAAATAATGATAAACGGTGGCACAGTTTCGTGAATTGGTTGAGATTAGACATTAACATCATTGGATACTGGCTCAGTGATCTTGTGGTTAAGCGCTCGCGTGCAAGACCGATAGCTCCTTGGTTCGAATCCAGCGGGCGGGATCATGGTTGTGCACTGCTGAGGAGTGGATACGCCTGTGCCATTGCAAACGAAGTTGAGCCATGTCATTCAAGGTTTCTAACCATCAGTTGTTGTCGTCTCGTTGATCCCAACCTACCAACATGGCTTACACAGTCCACTAGTCAGTGGCTTCATGGATTTGTGACCTTGGAAGTGTCTACCGACTGACTAGGGCTAAATGTGGATTATAAACCTGTATGAGGAATTAAAGTTATAATTTACAGCTGATGATTAAGGTTAGGAATTAAATTTACGGTTTTTCATCACAAACTGACATCAGCTAAAATGCCAAGACGCTATTTGACCAAGACTTGTTATCCTAAATCTGATTGGTTCGTTCATAAATTATAATCTCGCCAGATATAGAAATAATGTATTTGTTGTATAATTTTCACATTTTACTAAACGACTACATAATTGTGCATTAAACAACAAATTCGTTATTCTCACCGACTTTTCATGTGCTACAATCTATACATTCATCTGCATTAATAAGCACTAGATTTACTGTCAATCATTGATTTCCAATATTCGGGAATGTTAAATGTTAATATTTTATTTTTCTGATAGATATATCATACGCACTTTCTGGATTTCACTTCTAGTCATCATCCATTTCTTACTTACTTACTTACTTACTTACTTACTTACGCCTGTTACTCCTCATGGAGGAGCATAAGCCGCCCACCAGCACTCTCCATCCAAACCTGTTCTGGGCATTCATTTCCAACTATTTCCAGTTGTTATTCATCCTATTCATATCTACTTCTATTTCCCGACATAATGTGTTCTTTGGCCTTCTTCTTTTTCACTTCTCTTCACGATCCCACGTTAGCACTTACCTTGTGATGCAGTTTGTATGGTCTATCCATTTTCATTGTCTTTTCCCAATTTTCTCTTCAGCTGGAATCTGGTTTGTTCTTTCCCACAGAAGGCAGTTGCTGATGGTATCCGCCAAATGCATGCTGAGTATCTTGCGTAGACAACCATTTATAAATACTTGTGCATGTTTGATGTTGGTTGTCGTAGTTCTATATGTTTCAGCACCGTACAGTAGAACTGACTGTCTTGACGTTCGTATTGAAGGTCCTGACTTTGATATTGGTTGAGAAACAGTTGTTTTGAGTTTCATATGTTCTTCAGTTGTAGGAATGCGGTTCTTGCTTTGCCAATCCTCGCCATTACATCTGCATCTGAACCTCCTTGTTCATCGATGATACTTCCCAGGTATGTGAAAGATTCTACATCTTCCAGAGTTTTGCCATCAAGAGTGATTGGATTGCTGTTCTTCGTTTTGAATTTGAGGACCTTGGTTTTCCCCTTGTCTATGTTGAGGCCTACTGAAGCAGAGACTGCTGCTACACTGGCTGTCTTTATCTTCATTTGTTCATATGTATGCGATAAGAGGGCTAGGTCATCTGCGAAGTCCAAATCGTCCAATTGGTTCTGAGCTGTCCATTGTATTCCGTGTTTTCCTTCAGATGTCGAGGTCTTCATAATACAGTCGACCACCAGAAGAAAGATGAAGGGAGAGAGTAAACAGCCTTATCTGACTCCGGTTATTACTTGGAATGCATCTGTCAGCTGTCCTCCATGCACTACTTTGCACTGTAGTCCGTCGTATGAGTTCCGGATAATATTGACAATTTTCTCAGGAACTCCGTAGTGTCGAAGAAGTTTCTGTAACGTCCTCCTATCTACACAATATTCATCTCCGTACAGTAGGACTGACTGTCTTGACGTTTTTATCGAAGATTTTGACTTTGATATTGGTTAGAAGTTGTTAACCAGGAAAAATAATTCATTGTATAATCTACGGCAACAAAAATAAATTATAGTTACCAAGTTATCATTTTTAAAAATTATGATCACTGCTGTTATCTGGTTAATCAGGAAATCTTGTTTCATTTTTTGCCTCGAAAATTTCATTTGTTATATCTTCTTGTTCTTTATAACCCATTCTCCTTAACGAAGACGTAAAACAATAATGTTATTCAAACTTTTTTCTTATTTCCTGTAATTCGCATGGGATTTGTTGTTTGTTTGTGTGTGTTTTTTTGTTTTTTATTGTAGGCGGTAATCCACTACTTGCTTCTGTTTGGGAAGAAAAAGCAGCTGGACCATTTAGTTTAATGCATTCCGGTTATGGTATGGGAGCAGCATTAGCTCCTTTATTAGTGAAACCATTTACAATTCCTTCAACTTCAGTTAATAATACTACAAATAATAATCATTCCTTAGCAACAAATATTGCTACTAAACAAGATAATTCAACTGAATTAGTGATTGTCAATGCTGTGATACCTTATTCAATCGTTGCTGGAATTGTATTATTTTGTGTATTTTATTTTTTAATAATTATGTGTATTGACCATTCAACGGATCCAGAACACAATGGAATTATGTCATTAAGAAATAATAACAATACCAAGGTAAGTTGTTTTGTTTCACAGTGTATCTCTCTATTCGTGTAATGTTTATTAAAACGAAACTAGAATCAGATATGAAAAAGATGAATAACAACTGGAAAGAGCTGGAGAGGATCGCTTAGGACTGAGTTAGATAGAGAATGCTGATGAGCAGCTCCTCCACGAGGAGTAACAGGCGTAAGTAAGTAAGTAAGTAAGTAAGTAAGTAAGAAATGAATGATGACTAGAAGTGAAATCCAGAAAAGGTGTATGATTTAAGGCATATTTGAAGCAATCTTCACACGTTGTATATATGTCAATAAGAGACTCGTCAATTGCAGTCCTAAACATCAAAAGGAAAATACAAGTAAACAGTCAGTCAGTCTGTCAGCTACAACGTAGAATCAGGCACATATATGCATAGTTTCCGTACCTCATTAGCATAACAAGATGAACACCGAATTCATAGAAGTAGTAGTTTATTTAATATTTTAATATACAAAAATAAAATTGCATATAAGGATATGATACAGGAGGAAAGAATTAGTTGGTAGAAAGAAAGATATGAAGCGATTTCAATCTCATAGTTTAACAGAAGATAGAGACTGTACCCACCGATGCGATTATGATTGATTCTGAGCGATGTCACCCACAGTCTCCAACTATTAGTTATGATATTCACACGGAACCCAACCAAGTAGTCTGTATCAACCAACATGGTTCCGACTAGAAGTTAGTGACTTCAAGCACCGATGTCACATATTGATTTGGCCGCCTCTAACTTCCTTTCAACCAATCCCAACACTAATCTGCATTGCGCTTCATGGTAATCGGTGTTCAGGCATACTCAACACGTGACCCAACTATCTCAGTCAATGAAGATTCACAACCTCATCAACTGATTTACCATCATTCCTTAATACCCTGCATCTAACTTTACTATTACTTACCCGGTGATCCCAGCAGATGCAAGCAATATTCCTAAGGTATCTGTGATCAAATACTAGTAGCTTATGAGTATTTTCTACTCTTAATGTATTGTATTGTATTGTTTACTTGTTTAAAGTAAACAATACAAAATGGAATTTAACTTGTTATACTAATATTATAGAGGAGGATTTCTGTGATTTGATTAGACGAAATGTTTGATTATTAAGATCAATAAATAAAATGTTAATCAACAGATCAACGAAATGATATCATCAATTGGTTGATGAGAGTTGTACTAGTGACTTAGACCTCCGCCCCATCCATGTTATTCGAAATTAAAGATCATACCATTAGTCAGATGAATAGTTTTTCATGTTCCTATACAGAATATGAACACAAAACAAAACAAAACAAACATAATAAGATGTCATAGGCGATCGGAGCAAATTATCTTGTAAGTTACTCATTCTCTGATCAATGGAAACCTAACTTTTAAGCCTAGTCATTGGGTATCGTATTAACTAATGATAAGATTGATATTGTTATAAGTGGAAAATTAATAAAATTTTAGACTACTCAAACTCTTTCTATACTAACGAGAGGCGAAACCAAAATGTGGCATCAGTACTTGAAGTCACTAACTTCTAGTCGGAACCATGTTGGTTGATACAGACTACTTGGTTGGGTTCCGTGTGAATATCATAACTAATGGTTGGAGACTGTGGGTGACATCGCTCAGAATCAATCACAATCGCATCGGTGGGTACAGTCTCTATTTTCTATTAAACTATGACATTGAAATCGCTTCATATCTTTCTTTTTTTCTACTTACTAAATCTTTCTTCCTGTACTATATCCTTATATGTAATCTTTCTTTTATATATTACCACCACTGAATTAACTACTTCTATGAATTCAGTGTTCATTTTGTTGTGCTAATGAGGTATGGCAACTTGGAATGATGCATATATGTGCCTGATTCTACTTTGTAGCTGACTAACTAACTGACTGACTGAAAAGTATGATGATACAACTGTTGACTTTGTTTCGAAGTTAGTGTATTTATCATCGTTTATTGTGGGTCAGATAAATCGTTTTTGTCTAGGAAGATTAAGTTTTATCATGTCCGTTGATTCTAATGATCTGGAATATACTGTTGAACAGATACATAATGTACAACCTTGTAAACTGGAAAATAGATTACTAACGAACATATTTTCATCGTTGTACTTCAGTTAATTTTTAGGGGAGGTTCATCAGCCTAGATAGTAAATGGAACAGTGGTACATAAACTGAAAGCCCACTTGATTGTCACTAATTTCCAACACTTATCTGACTTTGATAAAGTCAAGTTCTCTGAGCTAGGCGGTTTGAGAAGTGAACTTTTTTTCTACCTTTCTAGACAACATCACTATCACTACAAGCTCCGATTAGTTGTTATAAGCAATTTATTCTCTGTCTTGAAGTTTATAGTGATGATGGTAATTAGAATGACAACGAAAACTTCTTGGAAAATCGCCTAGATCACAGGACATAACTTTATCGAAATCATCATCTTAAGCTTAAAATCTCACCTCCATCTTGAAATGTTTGACAGTCTATATTGTGGTAAGTATACCAGTCTACTGTTCACATTCTATCAATTGATAACTATCAAACATGATCATTGAGGGTTGCCTTCCGCCATAGATTGGTAACATGAGATCATAAGCATCTACACAGAGTTATTTATACATTCTAAATGCACCCCTACGAATAACTGACAACTTATTTTGTTGACCTGAAATTTGATTCTGAAGAAAAATAAATGCTTTAAAACCAATTCATCCAGTTCAAAGAGCACAACACCTTCAACATCCTAATGTCAAGCTACAATTATTGTCCATCATCTGTAGATGAGCTACACAAATAACTACATATTAGATACACGTGACATGGATATTCTGAAATAGTTTTATTGATAGAGTATATTAGGATAATAATTGTATACAGTTGTTTGTAAAAATACGCTTTTGTGAGTATGAAAACTACCCTACTGTTTAAAACGAATGAAACATAGCCCAGTTCATATCTGTAACATAATGACTTTAGAACAAGTGTAGTATCTATTTAGCTATCATCTTAGAAAGCTGATTAAGTAATCAAGTAATTGTAGGTATAAAGGCACGAAATAAATATCAACATATTTTCTACCAAGTATGGATAGTGGCTAGCAGTGGAATCCAGCTTGATGCGCGTTCCGTCCTATTTGGGACTCGTCAACTGGATGTACCTGCATCTCAGAGTTGTTGTACACTCTAGGACTCAAACTAAGTACCTTTCACTCTAAACGCCATCACGATATCCACTTAGCTACTGAGTCCTGATAGCCACTTGCTTGTGCAATGGGATGAAGTTTATTTTACTTGGTATTGTTTTACTTGAATCTAACCATTGATGTTTTTTGGACTGCAATTGATCAGTATCTTATTGGAATATGTGCATACTGTGCGTATTGCCTCGATATTACCTTGATTTACAAGCATTATATGCACACATGCCAATAAGAGACTGATCAATTGCAGTCCTAAACATCAATGGGTAGATTCAAGTAAAATAATACCAAGTGATATTTTCTACCAGTTTAGGAAAACAAATTCAAGTGAATATTTTTGAAAGCATCAACTTACAATTTCCAATTTTTCGACTGGGATCATGAACCGATTGATATTAGACCACTATGGAAAACCTGTAATTACTGAACAGCCATTTCGTCCTATTGTGGGACTCCTCACTAGTGGGCACTAACGACACCGCCCCGTGTGACTCGAACCCAGGGACGTTGGTATCAAGCGCTAACCCTTAATCTCTAGACCACTGAGCCGGCATCCAGTGGTGATAGTGTCCAACATCAACCGATCCGCGAAATTGCGCGATCATCTTCCATTTAACTGAGATAGATACCTGTCTCTACCTGATACGGATTAGCTCCACTGGTCACAAGTGTCTAGCTCCGTGACGGAATTCTCAGGATACATATTACCCAGACAAAAATCCAGACAGTTTATTGTCTAGTTAAAAAAAAATAAAAAAAGACGAACAACTATATCGATTGATTTTGATGTCAATCATAAAAATGATGGAAATTGAAGAAAAAAACTGTAAATGATTATTTAGAAGATTAGATGACTTTTATTTCTTATAATATGAATATCACAAGTATTATAAGTAAAGATTGATGGTAACTAGGAGTGGAAACTAGGACGCGTGTTTCCTCCTATTTGGCGTTCGTCCACTGGATGTAAATGTATCCGCGTTGATGTTTACTACGCGACTCGAACCTAGTACTTTTTATATCAAACCTCATCGGATTATTCACCTGATAGGATGCACATCCTAAATACCAATGGGAAAACTTGAATAATTAATAGAGAATGAATTAAACTTCACCCCATTCTGCAAAGCAGTGGCTATCTAAACTCAGTAGCTAAGTAAATAACGTGATGCCGGTTGAAGAGAACATCAATGGGTTCTAGTCCGTGAGTGAACATCGACTCTAAGATGTAGGCAAATCCAGCTGACGATCCTTAAATAGGGTGAAACGCGCGTTCTAAATTCTACTGCTAAGCATCATCTATCTTTGCTTAGAATGCTTGTAACTCAAAGAAATATCTAGACAATCCGTATGGGATGCACATATGCCAATAAGGGAGTGATCATTTGCAGTCCTAAACATCAATAAGAAGATTTAAACAAACAATACAAATGTGCATGAATATCACAATGGAAATACTTTCGAAGTGTTTAGATAGTTAATATATAGTAGGAAAATTCCAATTTTACCAACACTGAATGATAATAACAGTTTCTATTCCATTATACTTCTTACATAGCAGCACTTCTCCACTAATAGCATCAAAATACAGATAGTAAAACTCTAGAAAGTAATGAAAATATCAAAGTCACTCTATCCTGAAACGTTTCTTAATTTCTTAAGTAAAATATTTATAATTTATACGAATTATTTCCTAATTATCAGTACAGAGATATGTGCAGGTTATTGATTGTTACCAGTATCACGAATCTCCCTGAATTAGATATCTCTTGTAAACCAGGTAACATTAGATAGCTAGTTCATCGTAGTTTGCTACTCCTCAACAGCGGACATTCAAAAATCTCCCATCAGCGATCGAACTAAGTGTCTTTAGTCTCTCGACGAACTCTTATCTTCTCAAGTATAGAACTGGGATACAGCTGTAGAAATATCTAACTTTATTTGATTTGTAACATTACACAACCATCTTTCATCATTCTCATTGAGTACCTGTCATACATTGACATATATGAACTTTATTGTTCATAACCTCTCCTTGATTGATATAACTTGAAAAGTTCAAGTGTGATGTATGAGATCACAAGTTGAAACAAAATTTTAGAATCTTTTAATAAAATCTGAGAACCTTCTGCAAACCAGACAATTCAATTTCAACTGATGATGCATACTACTTATATCTATCGATGTCAGTAGCATACACCATGATACTTCCTCGCTTATATCAATACACGTGGACAACTGAGGACACTCATTCGATTGGAAAAATGTGGAAATCTTAAACAGAGGAAATTCCAAAAACAGTAGAGAATTTTTAGAAGCCTGGCACTCAGGTGAATCAGCAATCAACAAGCACATTGATATCGCTCCAATTTACCAACCAATCAGGAAAATCATGCACAAATATGGGAACAAAAATCAAACCAATGGGAGACACAACCAAAACAAAGAAGTAAACAATGATAAATTTAAAGTCAATAAGAATCAATCAACATCGAGGTGTGCAGAACAAGCTGTGAACCACATGTTGAGAAATTCGAACATTTCACTTCTATCTGAAGTTTGTGCTGATGATGTCGTTCAGAAGAAGAACGATGAAAGCTCCACGATCAAACCATCCAGTTCAGAGAACAAAACTCTATCAAAAGCATACACCATCTAAGATTATTGTCACATAGTTTACTTTTTCTAAACTCTAAATAATTCATAGAATATTATTCTATAAACTATAAATGATCTTCTTTGTCTTTCACTTTATTATTATTATTATTATTCACTATCCATTGGAATGTTAAACAATCAAGCTGATCAAAGATACTAACTTAAATCAAAGAAACAAGATCAATTGAACCGATAACATTTCTGTCTTTTGTTGTTTTTCTTTCACTATCTTGTCAATGTTTATAATGGTAAATAACCATTTTTCATTGTATATAGAATCAAAATAATAAAATTTATGAGTTCTATTGTTTACGTCATCAATTTCGTTTGAAAAAAAAAGAAAAAAAATATTGTTGACATGACAACAATATTAAATAGATGATTCGATAAAATAGTTGACATGCCAAATGTTTATCAAAATAAATAAATAAATAAATAAATAACGAATGTACTTTAAGTGGATTAAAATTAAGAATGTCAAATGACAGATATGAATGAAAAAAAATTCATATCAGAAGGGGTATATTTGTGGATATTATAGTACTTACAATAGTTGAGATCATGAATCGATTGAAGCTAGACTAACATGGAAAACCTGGAAGCACTGAACGGCCGTTTCATTCTAGTATGGAGTTTCACAGCAGTGCTCGTCCATAAGCCCGCTTGTGAGATTCGAACCCAGAACCTATCAGTCTCACAATAGGACAAAATAACTATCCAGTACATTCAAATTTTATATGATCAGAACTATTAAAATAATATTTATTATTATTATTATTTGAAGTTAGACATTAACACCGTTGAATGTCGGTCACCTCAGTGGTCTAGTGGTTAAGCGCTCTCACGTAAGACTGATAGGTCATGGGATCATGGATGTGCACTGTTGAAGAGTCTCACAATAGGACGAAACGGTCATTCACTGCTTTCAGATTTTTGATAATGATCTAACTTCGATGAACTCATAATTTCAACTATTGGAATCAATAAAATCTTCTGATTTATTATTATTATTATTATTTAATATCAGATGGGTTTCTCGATATTATAGTATTTTCAATGGTTATGATCATGAATCAGTTGAAGCTAGGCAACCATGAAAAACCTACAATTGCTGAACGGCCGTTTCATCCTATTGTGGGACTCCTCAACCATGCACATCCACGACCTCACTCCCTGTGAGATTCGAACCCAGTACCCACTGGTTTCGTGCGCGAGCATTTAACCACTAGACAGACCACTGAGCCGTACGATATCCAACTGTGTTAATGTCTAACTTCAACTAATCCACGAAATGGAACGATACTCACTGTTTTTCTCTCTGTTATATTTCTCTCTTACGGTTATAACCCAACCATTCCTATTGCTTAGTATTCTCGGACACCAATTCACTCGACAAGTCCCACAAACCAGAACACGGTTGAACAGCAAAAGAGATTACATTCCAAATAACAAGGTTAAATGGAAGTAAAAAGTACAATACGGAAAACGTTAGTATATTTCTAGTTTTTTTTGGCATGAGAAGATTTCTAGAGTATACTCCAAGTATTGACTAATGCTGATTGGTTAATTCTTATCCAATCAGCGTGCGCCAATGTAAGCGTGCATTGAGCATACTTTACTGTAGTCTATGTCCCGTTAACACTCTCACTTTTGTCTTTCTTTCTTTCTTTTTTTTTTTTTTTATAGATTACCTCATCATCATGGAAACAATTTTTTACTAAGAAACATTTATTCCATTCTATTAAATTCATTCAATCTATCATTTGTCAAAAATGTCATACAATTAAAAAGATTCATTTAATTATTATTAGTTGTACATTTATAGCATTCTTTACAATTGTTGGCAATGAACGTGTATTTGGTAAATTTATGTTTACTTATGCATTATATGGTCCTATACAATTAAATATTAAAGATAGTTATATTATTAATCTTATATATTGGTTATGTTTTTGTTTAGGACGTATCTTATTATTTCTATTAGCATTATGGATTAAAGCTACTATATTATTATTAGTATTATGTATTGGTACATTATGTAGTTCAATTGGTTTAATTCTATTACCTTATGAAAAATTATGGTTTTATTTATGTACAATATTATTTGGTTTATTTAAAAGTCCATTATTTCCAATTACCTTAGCAACTATTAATTATTCATATGAAATTAATGGTTTTTTAATTATTATAGTAAATTTTGGTAGTTCATTTGGTGCTACATTATTACAATTTATTACTGGTTATTTAATACATCAATATGGACAAATTATATTTCCATATTTAGTAACTAGTACATCATTATTATTATTAATTACATCGATTATATTAATATTAAGTTTATTACATATTGGTAATCGATTTAAACATTTAAATCATATGATAATTGATACAATGAATGAATCAATCAATGAAAATAATCAATACACTACTAATACTACTAACACTAATACTACTAATAATAATAATGATAATGATAATAATACATCTCCTATAACCATATTACCAAGATCAAAAGTGATTCAGTCGAAATTCAATAAACAAATCAATTCGATCAATAATAATAATGAAAAATTATAAAATTTGAAATGATTGATTTATTGATTTTTTTTCTTCATTTTTTTTTATTCTTTCATATTGGATAATCAATAATTATGAATGATGTAATCGTAGAGTTCGTATATAGAAGAGAGAATTTTCTAGGTGAATAAAATTATTGATTTTTATTTTGAATTTTTTTCTTTTTTTTTAAAAAAAAGAAACAACTAAACAAACAGTATTTCATTTTTATTATTATTTACTTACTTACTTTACTTACGCCTGTTACTCTTGATGGAGGATAGGCCGCCGACCAGCATTCTCCAATACACTCTGTCCTGGGACTTTCTTCCTAATTCCATCCAATTCTTGTTCATTTTTCTCATGTCTATATCCATTTCTCGGCGTATTGTGTTCTTTGGTCTTCCATTTCTCCTCCTTTGGCCTTGAGGATTCCATGTGACGGCTTGTCTTGTGACGCAGTTGGATGTTTGTCTCAATGTGTGTCCTATCTTTATTATTATTCAATAAAAAAAAATTAAAGAGAAAAAATTGGAAAAAAAGGAAATTTCATAAAATCTATAAAAAAAAATCTCATTTCTCATTACGTATTCAATTAATTTTTTTCTTTTTCTTTACTTGTTTTTCTTTGTTTTTTTGAAAAAAAAGAAAAAAAATTCTTTTTCTGTGATCTCGGTGTAATCATGTTATATTGTTATTTCATTGAAATAAATTATCTTTGAAATTGATGGTGATTTAGTGTTGAGTCTTAGAATTTTTAATTGTATTGTGGGGCCCGTTATTTTGTTGTCGTTTAGATGGAACGTACTTACTTACTTACGCCTGTTACTCCTCGTGAAGGAGCATAGGCCGCTCACCAGCGTTCTCCATCCAACCCTGTCCTGGGCAATCCTTTCTAGCTCCGTCCAGTTGTAATTCATCCTTTTCATATCTGCTTCTATTATCCGACGCAATGTGTTCTTTGGCCTTCCTCTTTTTCGCTTCCCCTCAGGATTCCAAGTTAGGGCTTGCCTCGTGATGCAGTTTGACGATTTGCGTAATGTATGTCCTATCCATTTCCATTGTCTTTTCCTAATTTCCTCTTCAGCTGGAAGCTGGTTTGTTCTCTCCCACAGAAGGCTGTTGCTGATGGTATCCGGCCAATAGATGTTGAGTATCTTGCGAAGACAGCTATTTATAAATACTTGTACTTTCTTGATTGTGGTTGTTGTAGTTCTCCAAGTTTCAGCTCCATACAGTAGAACTGCCTTGACGTTCGTATTGAAGATTCTCACTTTGATATTGGTTGAAAATTGTTTTGAGTTCCATATGTTCTTCAATTGTAGGAATGCGACCCTTGCTTTGCCGATCCTCGCCTTTACGTCTGCATCTGAGCCTCCTTGTTCATCGATGATGCTTCCCAGATATGTGAAGGATTCTAAATCTTCCAGAGTTTCGCCATCAAGAGTGATTGGATTGCTGTTCTCCGCTTTGAATTTGAGGACCTTAGTTTTTCCTTTGTGTATGCTGAGGCCTACTGATGCAGAGACTGCTGCTACACTGGCTGTCTTCATCTGCATCTGTTCGTGTGTACGTGATAGGAGGGCTAGGTCATCTGCGAAGTCCAAATCGTCTAATTGATTCTGAGCTGTCCATTGTATTCCGTGTTTTCCCTCAGATGTCGAGGTCTTCATAATCCAGTCGACCACCAGAAGAAAGAGGAAGGGAGAGAGTAAACAGCCTTGTCTGACTCCGGTCCTTACTTGGAATGCATCTGTCAGCTGTCCTCCATGCACTACTTTGCACTGTAGTCCGTCGTATGAGTTCTGGATTATATTGACAATCTTCTCAGGAATTCCGTAGTGTCGAAGAAGTTTCCATAACGTCCTCCTGTCTACACTGTCGAATGCCTTTTCATAATCAATGAAGTTGATGTATAATGATGAGTTCCACTCAACTGATTGTTCGACGATGATCCGTAGTGTTGCAATTTGGTCTGTGCACGACCGATCCTTACGGAATCCAGCTTGTTGATCTCGAAGTTGGGCGTCTACTGCATCCTTCATCCGGTTCAGCAACACTCTGTTGAAGACTTTCCCTGGTATTGACAGTAGTGTTATGCCTCTGTAGTTTTCACATTTGCTCAGATCTCCTTTCTTTGGAATCTTGACGAGGTGTCCTTCTTTCCAGTCCATCGGCACTTGTTCCTCCTCCCAAATCTTTTTGAATAGAAGATAAAGCATGCTTGTGGTTGCTTCGATGTCTGATTTCAATGCTTCAGCTGGTATGTTGTCGGGTCCTGCTGCTTTCCCGTTCTTGATTTGTCTGACGGCCATTCTAATTTCTTCCGTAGTTGGTGGATTGACATCTATAGGAAGATCTATGTGTGCTGCTTCGATGTCCACTGGATTCATTGGAGCCGGCCTATTCAGGAGTTCCTCGAAGTATTCTACCCATCTGTTACGCTGTTGTTGAATTTCGGTGATTGGCTTGCCTTCTTTGTCTTTGACCGGCCTCTCTGGTTTACTGTATTTCCCTGATAGTTTCCTCGTTGTATCGTAAAGCTGTTTCATGTTTCCTTCTCTAGCAGCTTTTTCTGCCGTCGTTGCTAGTTCTTCAACGTATTTCTTCTTGTCGGCTCTAATGCTCCTCTTCACTTGTTTGTTTGCTTCTATGTATTCAGCTTGTGCTTGGACTTTCTCTGCTCGTGTTCGGCTGTTGTTTATTGCTGCCTTCTTGTTCTTCCTTTCTTTGATCTTGTCCACTGTTTCTGTAGAGATCCATTCCTTATGATGGTATTTCTTTAGACCGAGAACCTCTTGACACGTTGAAGTTAATGCTTCCTTGATGCCTTTCCAGTTGTCCTCCATAGTAGTTTCTTCTTCTTTCAGTAGATCTCGTAAGGCTTGGAACCTGTTGTTGAGAGCTATCTTGAATTCATTGAGTTTGACAGTATCTCGAAGGAAGGCTGTATTGAACCTTTGTATTGCTGTTTGTCCACTTGTCCAGTTCTTTTTTAGCTTCAGTTTCAAATTGGCTACAACTAGGTGGTGATCTGAAGCTACGTCAGCACCTCTCCTGGTTCTCACATCTTCCATTGTCCTTCGGAATTTTTTGTTGATGCAAATATGATCTATTTGGTTCTCTGTAGTGTGGTCCGGTGAGATCCATGTAGCCTTGTGTATACGCTTGTGTGGAAATATTGTGCCTCCTATGACCAATTTGTTGAATGCGCATAGATTTGCAAATCTTTCTCCATTTTCGTTTCTTCCTCCCAGTCCATGTCGTCCCATAATATCTTCATATCCAGTGTTGTCTATTCCGACTTTGGCATTTAGATCTCCCATTAGAATGGTGAGGTCCTTTCTTGGGCATTTCTCTATCACTGACTGCAGCCGCTCGTAGAACTGATCTTTAATTTCGTCGTTGCTATCATTGGTGGGTGCATAACATTGGATAATATTCATTAAGATCCCCTCCTTCTTTGTTTTGAATGATGCTTTGATGATTCTGGATCCATGAGATTCCCATCCTACAAGTGCATTTCGTGCTACTTTGGACAGCATAAGAGCGACTCCCTGAGTGTGTGGAGCATTGTCCTCTTCGTGACCGGAGTATAGCAGCATCTCTCCCGTAGCTAGCCTTTTCTGTCCAGCTTGGGTCCAGTGGGTTTCGCTGATTCCCAGTACTGCTAAGTTGTATCTCCTCATTTCCATTGATATTTGACTGGTCTTCCCGGTTTCCCACATTGTTCGAACGTTCCATGTACCTATAAAAATTTTTGCTCTGGTTGTTAGAAGGGGCATCGGCCTCGTGGCTTCCGAAGGAACTCGGCTTTCACCATGAAGCGTCATAATTCTTCTAAATGAAGACCTTCTAACTCCCAGGGCAGAGTTAAAATGGTTTGGATTATTTTTTCTGGTAAGCGTTTTTTTAGCGAGTTAGTTTTCTACGGGATGGGGACGCTAACCCCATGCCCAACCCTCCTCCTTTACCCGGGCTTGGGACCGGCAGCAACCCTATAAGAGCTACAGGCGGAGTTGTTTAGATGGAACGATGTTGTCGAAAAGGCTCTCCACTTTAGTAGCTCGAGATCTGACTCCAAGGAGATCGTATGAATGTTTGTTATCGAAATATATATGTCGCCTATCCTTGTATATAATCCATCGACTTAAATCGCGTTAGTCAATAACAGATTTGGATAAGTCGAATAATGAGAATGGACTTGTGAATCCATATATTTCATATATGAAGCGAATGGAACAGAGCGAAGAGAAAGGACTCAGAGTAAAGATGGGGGGTAAGCCAACTCCCATTTAACCGAGCATTATTCAATATTTATAGTTACACAAAAGTAAGTTACAGACATGTGATGAGTAATGGGATAAGAAGTGTACACACACCTACCGGGCTCATATAAAAACAGTCAAGATTGATAAGCGAATAATTAACAAGGTGAGAATATGACTCAAGTAGAATGAATAGAATAAGCTGTCCGAATGCTAGAATAAGATATATGGGCTTAACATAATAACCAACACTACAGTATAATAATTGAATATTATGTATATGTTATAACGCTTAAAGTTCTTTGTTGGAACAAATGCGATATGAATTTATCTGAGACAAATATCTACATTAGACGCTCTCCCAATGTTTATTCTAAAGGACATCAATACAACTCAGATTAAGAATATGTGATTAGTTTAACTAGAATGTAATTATATTTCCATATCAAAAATCATCGACACAATCCAACAACAATGAACAAACAATAATAATAATGATAAGATGGTGGTTGGAGGTAGTCAACAGTAAACCCGGGTCCACGGTTTCTAAATCTAAATCTCAATATATAGTGCCCGCAGTGTCGAGTCACCTAGACTGGTGGCCTTATTGCAACATGATCGATAGCATTCGATCTGCACTAATAAGGACTAGACAAGCATGACATTGATCACCACCCAGTGATCAATCAATTGTGATAATAATGATAAGGATAGGAGAATATATCACTCATCTAATGCTTGTCAGATTATCTATAACTTTGATTAAGCAAACAACTATTCATTATCATCTTCGCCAAACATCAGTATATGTGTTTATATATAATGTATTATATTAATATAATTCAGTAAGTTAAGATAATGAAGTTAGTTAATCAGTAGAACTTCATACGTACGTACGTACATCAGTTCGAGTTGCCATACCACATTATCACACATCTGCATTTGTCGATTCAAATCCCGTAGTGGTAGAGGTAGTAAAAGTATAAGCAGTAAGCGGAAACATTAGGGTTTGAAGATGATTTTCAAAGAGTATAATCCAGTGGGATAAATTTAGAAAGAGAAAAAGAAAAGCAACATGAAGAATTATTCAGAAGATTAGAATTTGGGAGAATACAAAGAGTGTATGCACCTGAGCCATTGCAAATGATTTTGAATCATGTCATTCAAGGTCTCCAACCATCAGTTGCTATCATCTCGCGCATCCCAACCAGGTAGTCTACACCTACGAACAGAGCTCACACAGTCCACTAATGAGTAAAGTATATTTTTAGCAAATTTTCCCACTAGATGTAACTCAATACCTTAGCGGACAACATACCTAAATTTGAGCCAGTGAATAAATGATTTGAATCTAATGGCACATGTTAATATTTTGATGAAATACATTTAGCCTACTTGAACAAGTTTATTACCCTTCGTGAAGAAGTAGAAGCCCTCCATCAGCTTTCGCCATCCAACTCTGTCCT